AAAAGAAGATGAAGTTGCCTTTTTAATAAGGAATGGGAATACTTTTCTTTTTTTTTCCTTAAATTTTAATTATAAAATGCTGTTTGAGATCCCAACTCAGTGGGAGAACTTCTCCTACTGAAGGCAAAAGCTGGGCTGGGTCTCTGCTCCCAACCCATCTCCTTTTGGCTTCCTGAGCTCCTAGGCCAGGCAAACTCTTTAATTAAACACCTGCCCCGCCACTGAGACACTTTCAGGCCAGAACTGACATGGGGGTGGTCAGTTCAGTGTGGTGCCTGGCATTAAAAATCACATTTCCCCCACCTGGTGCTGCTTTGAAAGCCCTGAACATCAGCTGGGTCCCTGTGTGGGAACTGTCCCTGGCCCATGTCATGGCAGAGGTGGGAAAATCCTCCTGACCCTGCCAGGGCAGCAGCTCCCCACCAGCTCCTGGTTTAGTTTTTGCCAGATGTCATTATCCAGGCACAAAAGCGAAGCTTGGGGCTGGGGCTGGGCAGTCTGGGGGGTGAGGAATCACCTCCAGAAAGCTGGGACAGGACAGGGATTGTTCCCACAGCACACACAGGGGCAGGCTCTACACTAAACAATGATTATTTTATACTTTTATCGGGTCTGGTTTGACTCCAGTCGAAGATAAGGCACGTGGAGCTCTGTTTGCATTTTTGAAACACAGACCATGCTTTGCCAGTTGAATATTCCTTGCAATACCTGCCAGGAGCTGTTCTCAGGGACACAGAAATGCATCCCAAAACACACACAGGAGGGGCTTGGCAGGCAGGAATCTGCTCCCAGATGTGGGAATCTGCTCCTCATCTCTCAATACCCTTTATTTCCCCTTCAGGCTCCTCCTATAGATCTCCAAATTAGCCAAGCATGTGACAAATGCACCTGCCTGGATATTCCCTGGGACCCCTGGGAGCTGCAGCTATTCCTGCTCTGTGGATCTGTTCCAATTAAAGCACAATCAATGAATCAATAACTTTGTTTTCCCAGCACCTCCAGCTCGAGCAGGAGGGGGTTGGCAGAGCTTGGAGGGCTCATCTGGGCCGGCAGCAGCACATTCCCACATCATCCAGGCCTCCAGCTGCATTCTGAGGCTTGGAATTGCAGGCACAGCCCCTGTGAGGCCTTGGAACATCTGGATATTCCTGCCAGGCATGGAGGGGTTTGTGGTAAATGTCAGGGATAAGCTCTAGTGTGGCTTTAGATTTAAAATTTGCCCTGATAAATCCCAGCTTAAAGATGCTTGGAATAAACTGGGTGGGGTTTTAGGGGTTAAACCCCACCAGGAGGGGAGGGTGATGTGCTGCACCTCCTCCCTCTTGCCCCCAGCCCCAAAAGTGCCCCCCTGCCCCCTTTTTGTCCTGCTCTGCTTCCCACTGACACTTCCCCGCTCCTATTTTACATTCAGCCCTAATTTTCTCCCCTGTCTCCCATGTGATGTTTCCATTTGGACGCTCTCCTAACGACCTTTGGCTGAATCTATGTCTTAATAACATCAGGATGTCTCTAACAAGTGTCTGCTGATATATGCAAGAACCTTCTGCTCCGGACTTTAATCATGAATAATAGAAACAATTTACGAGGCCCGAGGAGAGCGAGTTATGAATCTCCCTGCTCAGAGCAGACAAGATAAAGCAGATGAAAAGGACACGTTGTCCATTTACTTATTTTTAAAGGTTTGTTTGCTCTGGCAGCACGTGAGGGATGATCAAACACCTGTTAGCTTGTTCAGCCCCTTATCTCCCCGTTTTTGCTGCCTGATGTGGCATTTTTTACACCCCTCCAATCTGCTCCTCGGCCTGGATTTATGGCAGCAGAGAAACGTTTAAGAGCAGGGTTTAGAGGAGATTTGTTACCAGGGAATTTAGTGATGTTGCAAATGGAGGTGTGAGGAATGGCAGGAGCCTCGGAGGAAGGGGAGGAGAGAGGAAAACACAACTTTTCAGAGGGAAAAACCGCACATTTCCAGCAGGTAAATCAGTGGCATCTTCACTGCAGCGTTCTTTGCATTTTACAGAAACAGCTAAAAACGGCAGGGTCCCATTGGGGGTCCCCTCACCTCCCTGCCAGGCTCCCAGAGTCACCCACAGGGGAATTTCTGGGAAAACTGGCACCATCTGGGGCTGTTTCCCCTTTTCCTGATGTTCCCTGGGAGCAGAGCCCCTCCTGCCAGGGAATTGTGGAGTGCAGAGTCCCCCCTGAGCCCCCTTTAAACATCCCCAAAACTTACAGCAGCTACAAATCATTGCAGCAGCCCCAGCCAGAGCCTGGCAGGGATGAAGAAACTCAATTTCTTCTGGGATTAATCAACTTCCCTGGGATATCCAGGGAATTTCTGGCAGCACCGGGAATGAGAGCTGAGCCTCAGTGAGCAGCTCACCTGTGCAGACACCCTGCCCTGCCCTGGGAGTTCCCACAGCCCCAAAAATCTCCTGGCAAGGAGGAAGCAGCTCACAAACAGCATCCCTGCTCCTGCCTCGGCAGGGAGAAAGGGGGAGAAGCCAGAGATGCCTTTGGAAAGGAACATTCCTGGGGCTGAGATCGCATTTCCACAAAGCCCTGCAGGAAATCCTCTTCAAAATTAAGTTTTATAACTGCAGGGAGGGAATTTGGTCACCAACCCCACACCAAAATCCTGCAGGGTGTGGAAACCTAAGCACCAAAGGATCAGCTCCAGGCATAGCTCTGTTATTTTGTTCTCTTGGTTCTACTAATTCCTATTTATTTCTATTTTCGGTGCTGCTTTTACAAGCCCAGTAATGGGGAATTCTTATTGATTCCTATTTGGGTGCCAATAAATCCCATTAAAGGTAAATTGGCCAGTTTGGTTAAAATTAACCTTTCAGGTCAAAGCCTGGAATGGTGTTGAATAAATCCCATTTTATGAGCAGCTGGACAAGGTCATGGACATGGGACTGGAGCAAAATTCCTTCTCCTTTTGCAGCTGGAGAACAAGTGGACCCCACTCCTTGTGCTTGCATTGAAAAGCATTTCTGAAAACAAGAAACAGAAAAGCCAAACAAGCTCCAGGATTCCTGAAAAACCCATTTTTTTTCCCTATTTGATCCCTCATTTAATAATGCAGAAACCCAGTTCCATTCTAAATACAGAAAATGCTGATTCCATTCACACCCCAGCATTTGAGTGGGAAAATGAGATTTAATCTAAGAAGGAAAGATGCTGAAAGACAGAAAGTTCATAACAAATAACTCAGTGCAAGGCTTGGTAATTAAACAATTTCAGAGCAACGTTTGCTCTGGGTGCTTTCTGTGAAGGAAAATGAGTTGTTTATGAAAACTGAAATCCATTATTTATTCACAGCAACTTCAAATAACTTCTCCCCAGTTAAATATATTTAACTCTGCAATTTAATGCTGTACTGAATTGCCCTGTCTGGGTTTGCTGTGCTTTTCCTCTGGCTTCCCACTCTTTTTGGGGGATGAAGGGAGAATTTCCTTAATTTTTTTTTGTTTTTTTGGCCTCTTTACTGCTTATTTCCAAAAGGAAAAGAAATCAGGTTGAAATACACTTCTCAATCTTATACATGATCATTCGGTTTTGCTTCTGCTTGTGACCAAAGTACAAATTTTTCTGAGTTTCAGTCCCTTCAGACCTTTTAATTTCCTCCCCTCAACAGACTGATAAGGATTAATAATAACACCTGACACAAAGGCAACAAGGAGAGATAAGTTATTACAATTCTGGGACAGTAGCACCATTCCTGCCTTTAGAGATGACAGAAAATGCAGGGAAAATTACAATTTTTTTGCCAACAAAAGGTTTAAAAAAAGCTTTGCTGATAGATGAGATCAACTGGTGGAGAGAGGAGAGCTTGGAGCCACGGTAGAAATCCCTCCCTGGCACAAACTGTGGCAGAGAGACCCCTGGGGAGGAAGGGACAGTGCCTCAAACCTGGTTTTCCTGGGGGTAATTCCAAAAGGGAAAGGCAGGTGGGTGGATGGAGCCAAGCAGAACAAAGAATTGGGGGGAAAAAATGTCCAGAACCAACAAATAAAAAACCTCCTGAAAAATCAGGGAAAAGCCTCTATTTCCTGGATTTTTAGGGCCAGGGTCTCTCCTGTCACAGGGTCTCTCCTGTTTCTTCCACCTCACCACTTTTCCCATCAAAATCGGGATTTTTTCTCTAAAACACCTGAAAACTCAAAAAAAAACCCCTGACAGCTATACAAAACCTTTGGGATTTGTGCCTGGTGGGATAAATCCACCAGAGAAAGAATTCTCCAGAGCCACCCTTCACCTCCTGGAGCTTCCCAGCCCTTATTTAATGCCAGCAGTGAGGGAGTTAAAGCAGAGAGGAGGAAAGCACTCCAGGAATTGCTGGATGAGTGACCAAAGGAGCTCCCGAATTCCTGGCACACCCAGAGCCGGGGTGAGGGCTTCGATGATGCTCCATTAACCAGGAGCCAGCAGCTTCCCTCTGCTTTCATCCTGCCCTTCCTGGAAGCAGCAGAACATCACCAAGCTCCTCAGGAAGGAGTTAAAAACCTCTGGAATTGCCCACGGGATTTTCCCTGACTGGGGGAGCTGAGCACATTTCCAGGTCGGGTTTGTTTAAATGCTTTTTTTAGAGGAATCGTAACCAGCTCAAATCCCAGGGGGTTTGAATGCTTTAAAAATGATGGAATAGGAATAGAACAGGAGATAAAACTCCAGGATTGCGGGAGCTGGAGGTGATGGAGCAGCTCTGGACAGATGTCACACATTAAAACGTGGCATAAATGGAATTTCATGGGGCACATCCTGAAGAGTGACCCAGATCTCTTTTCCCCAGGGAAGCAGCAGCAGCAAATCCCTGAGAGGGCTCCTGTGATGGGGCCAGCAGCTCCCTGGGGTGAGCCTGTGTCCTCAGCAGCACCCCTGATGTCCCTAAAACAGGTCCCTGTGACCATGGAGAAGGCATCCCGTTGCCATGGGAACAGCAGGAGGATGCTCAGAGCTCTTGGCTGGGTTATCACAACAAATGGGCTCTCCAAGGAGCTGTGGATCAAAGCTCTCCTGCCAGGAGCCAGATCCAGCAGCAGCAGCCTCCCAAACGAGCTCACACTCCTGTCATGGAGCTGTGAGCCCGTCCTCGGAGGTTTTTTCCAGACATTCCCAGAACCAAGGACTGGCCTGGGGTTGGAAGGGACACTGACACCTCCAACCTGGCCTTGGGCACTGCCAGGGTCGGGCAGCCACAGCTGCTCTGGGAAATCCATTCCAGAGCCTCCCCAACCTCGCAGGGAAGGGTTTTTCCCTGATTTCCAAGCTGATCCTCCTCTCTGGCAGACCTCTCTGGAGCCAGGCCAGCCTCAGAACGCCGGGAATGACAAATGATGCCTTTTCCTGGTGCGATGTGGGCAGTGCCAGCCTGGGTTTCACGGGGGGTTCAGGGAAGGAAAGCCAGGCCCTGACACCATCCCTGAGCCTACAAAGCCTGGCTTAGTCCTGCAAAGCCAGCCCTCACCAGGGCACGCTGGCACTCTGACTGATGAAATGGATTCCTGGCTCAGCCATGAAATATTTATGTGCAGGGACCGCGGGAGAAGCAGCCACACGTGCTCAGAGCCTGTGGAGGGGACAGCAGAGCATTTCAAGCTGTGCCTGCAGCCTCTGCCATGGCAACGGGGAGAAATCCAGGTGAGACAGGAGCCACCCTGCCCCGGAGAGCTGGGGGAAGCACAGGGACAGCAGGGCTGGCCAGAGCCCACAAGGAGAGGCAGCAGGGGAGGGATTTTCCTCCTTGTCCCTAATTCACCCTGGAAAAAGCAAAGCCCTGAGTCAAGGTGGAAGCCTGAGGAGCAGGGAGAGCTGAGCCATCTGCTCAGTCTGGGACACAGCTCACCCACCTGCTGCTCACAGCCAGCCTGGAAAACGGGAGGCGCTGGGAAGTGCTTTCCCTGCTGCCCGGGAGCACCAAACAGGCTGAAAATCAAGGGGCTGATTTTATCCCCACAGACAAAGCATCCCTGGCAGAGCTGGGCCCTGCTGAGGGAGCTTAGAGCCAAATCCTGGCTGAGATGTTCTCCTGCCTCATTCTCAGCCCGTTCACAGAGCGGGATTTATCAGCTCTGCCCTTTGCACTCTGCTTTTCATTAATACCAATATAGACTCGCAATTCTTTACAGCCCTCATTACCCAAGTCAAAATAAAAGCAAGAAGCCCTAATGAGCTGCTCAAGTTGCCAAATGGAACAGAAGCTCTGAAGAGATACCACAGAGTGAGAGCAATTTTAAAAATAAAGCTTTTGGGTTAAGGCTTAAAGGAAAAGAGGCACCAGGCTTGGAAATCTGGATGCTGAGATTCTTCCAAGCATCCCCATTTCCTATTTCTATCTGATTAAAAAACTGAGTTCAAAAGAAAAGCAGAACACAACAGTGGGATTATTGAAATAGGCCCCTATTTCCTTATAATTAACAGCTACACTAGGACTTGATTTAATTGTTTCTGCCTTAATAAACCATCCCAAAACTCAGCTGGAAAGTGAAAATACAAGCCTGGGCTGGCACGGCTGGAGCAAAGTTGAATTTAGCACTCTGGGGGACAGGGAAGGAATAGATATTAATATGAAAAGTGTCATTCAGCCTCCTCCCTTTTCCAGAACCATCCCACTAAGTGCAGGCCTGGCCCCCTGCCAGGGCTGCTGCACTGGGAGCAGCTGGGATTTGCTTTCTGCCCTCCCTGGACTGGTAAAGTTGGATTTGTGCCACACCCGGAGCAGGGGGTTCAGAGCTGCTGCTGGATCCATTTCCAGGGGGTTTGCACCTCTGTGTCTCCCATCCATGGGGGATATCCATGGGGGATATTTCTGTGCATTCTCAGGAGTCTGGAAGGGTTTGGGTTGCAAGGGATCCTAAATCCCATCAGCTCCCACTGGCCCAGCTTGCTCCAAGCCCTGTCCCTGAAGGTTTTATTCCCCGCAGCCCAACAAGTGTTACGGGATGTGGAGCAGGGAATGTGAGCTGGGATGTTTTGGGAGGGCAGGGAAGAGGACCAGAGGCTTTGGAAAGGATGAGGAACGAGGCAGATTTCTGCAGGAGGCACCTCAGACCCTCCCTAGAAGCTGAGGCCGATGCTCCCAGCTGGACACAGAGCTCCCACCTTGCTGTGGGCAGCGTTTTTCCTCCTTTCCCACAATTTATCCCTCTTTTCTGGGATTCTCTCTGCAAACAGCCCCTGCTGAGGACTCCTGCATCACCTGGCAGCAGCAGCAGTGGCCCAGGGTGATTTCATTTGCTCAATTACTGCTCCAAAAGGCAGCCAGGAAGGGCTGGGACCCCCGGGCACACTGATAATGATGCCTTTGCCTGTGTTAATTGACATTTGGATGTCCTTCCCAAGCAATCCACAAATTCCTGCCCAGAAAGCTCCCTGCAAGCTGCTGCCATGCTGCTCCTCATTTGGACACAGGATATTTTCTTGTGAAATTTGTGTATTTCTATTTTTCCTGGGGGTTCTTTTTCCCCCCCCCCATTTTAATTTATTTAGTTGCTCCACAGAGTCCTGGAAGCAACTGGCACTCTCAGATCCTGTGTGATCCTGACTGAAGACACTTAAAATCAGATTTAGGAGCACCAGGAGGGCTGGGAAAGAAAAGATTTCACTGTTTTTCCCACCAAGCTCTTCCTGATTTAATCAAAAGGGCACAAAATTCTTTACAGGGAAAGAAACAAAAAAATTTTAAGGACCAATTAAATTTATTGGGGGAAAAAAATGGCAGCCAACCTTACAAATCCTCCCAGGTGGAGGTGCTGATAGATCCCAACATATGAAAACAT